GGGGGGGGGGGGTAGAGAGAAGCGCGATATGGAAGGAGATCACTCGGCGAAACATGTGCATAATATACAAAAGCCTCTTTAATACTCTCGAATGGTATGGCGATATAATGATCGTTCATCGACCCCGCGCACAGATGTTTGCAAATAAATTTCCCTACGCTAATAGAGTATTCGATAAGAGGACTCGCATAATAGGGTCATTGGGTTATAATATGGGAAATTTGGGAGATTTCGAGAGGGAAGTGAGGCTGGTTGCAATGGAACCTCACGCTTTCCTCTGCTGCGTCGATCGATGATAAATTCAGTCAACGAGTCTTTTATATATCACCGTAATTTCCCATACATTGTTACGATTAACTCCCTACAATCCATTGGCGAACGTCGACAATGGCAAACAACGATACGTTTAATTATGCCATTATTTTGTTGACGAGCAGTGGCCAAGCGAAGATTGCTTCCCACCAGGACGACTAGATTATTAGGGTCGATGCGTGCTTTCATTATCTTTGGGGAGCTTCATTGTTCCTCGGTTGTGCATAAAGACTAGCGCAGATCGATAGCGCACGAGCTTACGGCGAAGCTATCGAGCAAAACGTCGGTACTAAACTTCTCCTATTGCGCATCCATTTACCTTGGCAGCTTCTTACAACAAGAGGCGAAAATTTCTTCTCTTACGATTAATTTCATCACTCCCTCGATATTGAATATCGTCATTAGCTGTAATATCATAGCCTAACGCATTGGAGGAAACCTTAATTTGTAAAGAGGTTCCGACTGACATTCAAAGGTCAAAATGCATTGCCATGACATTAGAAGAATCTTAGGTAAGCTAGTGTATGTCGCTTAAGTATTATAAACTTATGTTTAATGGGCTTTGAGACGAAATATGATTGATTGAGTGTTTTTATCAGCTCATGGCTCTGAGCGCTCGAGCGAGGAGTGAAAAATGCATAATTATAGCCCGTGGCGAGGAGCATTTAGTGTGTCATAATGTCGGGGAGTGTTCGTGACTGATTGCAGTGATCGGATACTTGTAAATTTTAATTGAAATACTTGCGAGCATCCGAGAGAACGCCCAAAGCCAGCTAAGCTCCCCCCCCCCCACTCCTCCTCCTCCTCCTCCTCCTCCTCCTCCTCACCACTCTCACTCTCTGCTGGCTAAACTTACTCTTGCGCAGCTACATAATTGTACTTTTCTACGCTTAACTCACGATTCCATTTCAGTTTCAGCTTACGACGAAGGACTCCAAAAAATATTATTGACGCATCGTTGACGACGATAATGCACCACCTCGCAATGACGATGTCACGATTTTGCCACCCGAATACCCCCGACTTTCATAGCCCAGCCCATCTACGAGTGTCGATAATGACTTCTCCTTGCGGTAGTAACCTCCGGGGCCTCCCTCACCGAATCCTCCAGTCGAGTTCAACAAATCTATTATTATCGACCCAACCTCGGGCCTCCTGAGTAGGACATCCACCATTCGCCAACTACGTAAGCGGCTGGATACCGTTATTGGGATTGCCTGTTGTCGCACCGGGTGCCGCGTACCTCGAGCGACATTCGAGGAGCGACCGCAAAGAGTTCGACGTGATCGAGGCGACGTATCGGGAATCGACCGGAAGAACCGTCCAAGCAAACCCGGATCACTTGTGTCGTCGAAATTTTTCTTTTAACCTCACCTATATTTATTTCACAACGAATATTAATATTCTTCTATCGTTTCTATTACCTACACAGTGTTCTACTACTCCGTCAATTATAATTTATCGTATTTACAATCATGTATTAGTATTTATAGGCTTTCTATTATTTTATACTTTATATAATTTTAAATAGTTGCGATATGGATTACGAGGCGCTATACATCTAAAACGAAGACTTTCCTCAAAACATTCGTCGCAATCTAAATTATGCATATTAATTTTCTATTCATAATAAAGAGATAATAATAATGAATAATAATGATAATAATGATAATAATAGTAATATTAACACGTGAAGAAAAAACGATAAACAAAACAAAAACAAAAATTTAATAGAAATGGCAATATTTGTCACAAGTTCATATTAAACTGTAAAATTATTGGATGCATTAATAGCAACGTGAAATAAAGAATTATTGCAAATGTTGTGACATTAAAATTCTATATATATATATATATATATATATATATAATGATAAGTGCGTGAAAATATTGAAGACGAAGCTATTGATTAAAAATTACATTCGCTTATAATACGCAATTATAATTTAATTGATTAATTAATGCTCGAACAGGTTATCAACAATTTCTTTATAATCTTATCGGAAGAAATTTATAGTTTCCCGAAAGTGTACGCTTCAAAGCATTCGCTAGCTTCTATTCGCAATTTGTTGAACGAAGCCTGAAAATGACATGCCAAACGATAATGTAAAAACAGCACTTTCGAAGAAAGCGATTCATTCGGTTTGAGCCAATAATTGGAATTACCGTAACGAGTTGGGCCTTTGGCCTCGAGCATCCGCCGGAAGTTATCGCTCTTCGTCCTATGATCTTCCGATTATCATTGAAGATGCGTTTAACCGTAAAAAGCGAAATTATCGTATTGCAAATTGTATTATATCACTAGATAATATTAGATAATATATTGTAATAAGAAAAGGAAACAAGACAAAACAAAAGAACGGAAATTTTGAAATAATTTCAATGCACCAGGAGTAAGTAATTGTTAGCACCACCGTCCACGTTCCAAATCAACAAATCAACAAGCACCAATAAATACAACTTGCAGAAGTATTGCTGCAACAATGAAACGTAGCAAGTACATTGGATGCTATATTGGAAACATTGATTTCGGAAAATCATAAAAGAAAATACATTTAACGACGAAAGTAAAAGTTTAAGAAAATTATCCTCTTACCTTAATATGATAATCCGTTGTTCTAAAATACCATCACCGGCACTTCATCACCTGGCACTTCATCACCTATCTATTTATCCCTAATCGGCCAAACTATCAACTGGCAACTAGCATAATCTGCTCTATCGACTGCTGCTCAGTCTCAACGCAATCAACCGTACCACAATCCAATGGAAATCCGGCAACACTGTTTAATAAGTATTATGGTACCATAAAAATTTTATCTACCGAGCTACGAATTATCATTAGGAATATTATAGAAAATACCATTGGCATTTATTAAATATTATAGCAATTGAGTTATGGAAATAGAGATCATTAATATAAAATGTATTGAACGAATGATTTTTTTTTTCTTCTATTGACATAATACGATTGAAATTTAGAATGAAATATTAGTATGAATTTAACTAATAATGAAATTCACGTGTGTCACGTGTTTAGAATAAATACATAAACTGCTCATATAAAATGATAGGAATTTTATTATACGATATTTTTAAAGAAGAATTTTAAAACGTATCGACTAAATATTGTAATCAAGATATTTTCGTTTATAAGCTATGCATGAATAAATATATATATATATATATACATATATATGCGTGCGTGCGTAAGCGCGCGCGCGCGCGCGCGTGTGTGTGTGTGTGTGTCTCAACACACTGGATAATTCATATTTCAAATCATTAAGGTTATGTTTGATTTATCAATAATATTTTTTCATAATTTACTATTTTAGTATAGATTACAATACCATAAAAATAATCTCGGCCAATTCGATAAATTATACTTGGAGAATTCTGAAAACAAGATTTCTCGATTCTTCTAGAATTTTCTTATCTCTAAATTTGATACACGCGCTCGTTATATAAACTGCAATACCTGTTTTATAGTAAATTATAATTTTCTTGTCGTCAACGACGACGACGACGACGACGACGACGACGACGACGACGACGACGACGATGAAAAATTTTAATGCTTATTTTTAATTTGTATTCGGCATCTGGAGTTTATAAATTTAATAAGCTTGAAAAGGTTTCTCACATTCCATGGCGTGGAGTCTACTTCAGTCATTACAATGCACAAGCATTTGTAAACAATCGTAATAATTTTATAATATTCCTAGGCATTAAACAAGATTACCGATTTACGTATTGTTGGCAAATATTATTAAACGTAATAAAGTTTTGAGTCCAATGCTAAACTAAAATTTTTTCGTAAATGACACGATGCTTAACCATATAAAAAATATAACTAATTGATGAATTAATGAATGTTAATTATAAAGAAATTCCAAACGATTGTTGCTATTGCTTTTAGTCCTCAATTATAATAATTAATCATCTTGTATATTATGAATATGACTATTTGTGATAGAAAAAATTTCCATTAATTTAATTTACGTATTATGAATGAGATACAATTGAAAAAATATAAACATAAATACATAATTGTAATTGAGAATGGATTCGATAGTTTGGTTAAATGTTCAATTTGAATTATGACTTTTCGTTATGATTTTGTGAAAAACATTGTTTGGTTATTAGTGAAGGAGAGCTTAAATCCTGAGAGGCTTAAGTTTTCTTTAGAAAACATGTGCATATACAATTGATATTGTCCGTAAAAGTCCCGTTATTTATTGGCGACATTAGAAATTATATAGAAATTGCGACATGTATTGTATTATAGTAAAACGTGCTTTTCTAAGAATTAATTTCAATTTTATGGAAGGGAAGCGGATAGTGACGCCGCCATTTTTACACAATTTAGAGTCGCGAGCTCCTATTGGACAATAATAGCGACCTCTATAATAGCGTTTCCGGTATCATATTCCGGAGAGCCAAGAACATAACCTTACAAATCAAATAGAACATTCTGTAAGCTGTGCATGATAATCCGACCACGTGAATTTTAGTCGTAAGTATAACATTAAATTTTAATATAAAATTAATGGTATTTAAGTGATATAAATGCATATTATTAAATTTAATACAAGTAAAAATTAGTTTATTAAAGAAAAATAAAGTATTTTTAGCATAAGCGAGAAATATTTTATTTTATAAAAATGATGAAAAAGGCGAAACAAGGACAATTAGAGAAGGCTGGGGCTAATGGTGATGCCTTTAATTCAAAGAAACGTAGCCATGAGGATAATGATGCTTCTCAAAGGAAAAAGTTAAAATCTAACGCAAATAATTTACCTTCTAATCAGAAAGCGAATGCTAATGTTCCGAAAAATGTGCCTACTGCGAAAGTAGATACTTTGAGCAAATTAAAGAATAAGAGCAAAGCTAAAAAGGTATAAATTTGTTAATTAGCGATCGCGATTGTATATTAATATTAATCGAGATAATTTTAATTAATAAAATTTTACAAATATAGCCGGAAAATAACGATAAAACGAATTCCACTAAGGGTAAGCAGCAATTAGTTAATAAAGTCAAGCCTAACGGAGATGTACAAAACTCTGATAAGAAAGGCTTGTCGAAAAACAAAAAATTAAAACAAAAATTAAATAATCTTGGCAATGAACAAAAAGACGCTACAAACAATTCCAGTGATAAGACTGCATCGAAGGTATATTTATATAAATATATCAAATTTACCGATTGTATATAACAAATATAAATAGAGCGCAGAAGTTAAATAATTTTGACTTCGATTTTGTATAATAATTTATATTAATTCGTTATATTCTGTAATTATAGCAAGAAAATTCTAAAGATGTGTCTAATACCGAAGACAATAAGGATGCGAAATTTAAAAATACACATAAAAGAAAGAGAGAGAAAGCTCAAAAAAATCTTAAGCCAAAACCTAAAGAAAGCCCCATATTAAATAAATCAGACTTAGATCAGGTGAAGGAAAAGATTGCTGAAATTCAGAGTCGTGAAACTCTGAGTAAAACGGCGATAAAGAAATTACGTGCTTTAAAAAAGAAAGTACGGGTTGCCGAGGAAGGAGATGGTAACTTAGAAAATACAAAGGATGTTAAGAATAATGTTAATAATTCGAATGCATCAGAAAAGAAGAAAAACGCAGCAAAGAATACAAAGCAAGAGAGTAATGTTAATAAGAAGAAATTGGAGCGTGAATCTTCAGATAGTAATGAAAGTAACAATGAAAATGTTGAGCTAGGATTACCCGTTAAAAATAGCAATAAGCCATCCGTTAAATCAAATGTTAAACAGCAAAATAACCAATTAAAAAAGACGAATAATGAAACTGTCAAATCTAAAAAAGCGAACAATCAAGTACAACAAGTAGTTAGCAAAATGGATGTAGATGACGATGATGAAGATACCGATGAGGAAGACGATGTTCAACTAGATACAGATGGTGATCTCACTCTAAATGACAATACTGCTGAAGTAGATGATGATGACGATGACGACGAAGACGATGACGAAGACGACGACGACGACGACGAAGACGACGACGACGACGATGAAGCCGGTGATGATGAATTTGAAGAATTAAATGCTGAACTAGATGATGAAGACGATGACGACGACGACGACGATGATGATGATGAGGAAGACGACGATGTCGATGACGATGATGACGAAGAGGGTGATGACGATTACAAAATGAAAGACGTAAGTGTTAAGGAAGGGAGTAATGCGAATAAACAAACATTGAATGGATCCAAAAAACAGGGCAAAGGAAATAAGGAAACAACAAATAACTTCAATAAACTGGGACCTGTTAAAGAAAAATCTGATAAATTACCTTTGGACACTAATCAGGTAAAATTCCGAAAAAATGAGGAATCAAATCAAAATGCAAAGAAAGAAGACAATGAAACAAATAAAAATAATTTTCGTGAAAACCAAAAAAATGTTGTTTTTGTAGGTAATCTAGCATACGAGTAAGTAGTAAATTAAATAAATATTCATTCGATAATTATTAGTTAATCCATATAATAATTGAAAATTAAATTTTAGCATAAATCCTGTTGATATCAAAAAGCATTTCTTATCTAAGGTTTCAAAAGTGAAGGACATTAGGATTGCTTTTGATTCAAAAACTAACAAGTCACGAGGATTTGCTCATGTTGAGTTTGAGAATACTCAAGACTGCGAGGTAAACAACAAATATTTAAAATTATAATCACAATCGAATTTACTATTAATTTTTATTAAATATTTTTAAACTTTGTGTAATTACAGAAAGCACTTTCATTACATCATACTACACTAAAAGGTAGACAGATAAATGTATTAAATGCATTGGACAAACGAGGTAAAAAACCAGATTTTCAGAAAAATAAGAATTCAAATCCATTTCAAAAATCAAGAAGATTCACGAAGCCGGAAGGGCATTCATTTAAGAAAAATCAATACTGAATAGAATATAGCTTCGATTATCAGAGAAAAAAATTTTAATATTCATCAAATAATGATCTGTCATCAAGTATTTACAGTGAAACCGATTTCTTTGACTTTAAATTAATTAATTATTTTTAAAGGAATGAATAATTACATAGTTATATTATGTAATAGTTAGACAGTAATTTGTGACGATTTCTTACATTTTATACTTTTTGTTACACACATCGTATGTATACATTCATGATATATGTATGTACGTACCACTATTTACATAAAATGCAATAAGTACATTTTATAGAAATTTACAAATAAATATTCATATATTTGTATATTTAAAATTAAATAAATAAACTCAATTTATCATATATAATACTTAATTATTGCATTGTATGAATCACATTATATCTAGTAATATAGCTTGTGTTACATACGTTATGCATACGTTAGTATGCATTCGATAGAAAAAATATATATAATTATTGTAAAGGCTATGATGGAACATGTAGAAGTTTAAAATTTTTTTTATACAACTATAATAATAATTATATATTATATTCCTAGTTTTCATATAAAGTTACTTTATTAAAAAAAAAAAATAATGTCAAAAAAAAAAAAAGGAAATATAATAAATATAGTGACAATTTTTGTGTTATTAATATAAATCATGATGGGGAAAAAAAAAATTTACCCCTGGTGGGACTCGAACCCACAATCCCCGGTTTAGGAGACCGATGCCTTATCCATTAGGCCACAGGGGCTATCATGGTAGAAACGCTCACTATCAATTATATAAGTATGAGCATTTTAAATTCATATTAAATATTTTCTAAAAACAATTACTTAATTTATATTTCATATATATATAACAACATATACTCTAACTTGTTAAAAAAAAAGGTTTTTTTTATATATAACCTAAAACGAATAGTAATTTTTTTACTTTTTTAATACCACGTGCTCGACATATTTCAAACATTTTTTAATACCGATATTGGATCCATAATTTTGAAAGAATATAATTCATGAAATATTCTCGAATAAGATTATATAGTGCTTAAACGTGAAATTTCAATGTAAGTTTAAAATTTTCTGTAAATCGGGAAACTGGAAGCATGGAAGCCATAAAGAAGACTAAGCAAATAAAAAGGAGGCGACATCGTAATTATGATGATTATAAAAAAAATTTTCTGGAAGTAACAAAGGTAATGGTAACAAATAAGAAATAGTTCTATTTAAGATTGGGGTTATATTTACTTAATCGTGCAGATGTTATTTGAAGAAAACAACAAAATAATCGAAGATTTTGATTCTGAGCAATTGGAAAATATAAGTAGAAAAAAACATCAAGTGATACAAACTGAGTCTACCGATAGTTGTGGTATTGCATATTTAATACTAATTTTCCTACACTGTAATTGTACAATATATTCGTTGTTGTTTGTTTCAATGTTATCAATTGGAAAGGAATGTTAGAGAAAACTGACCTAATAATAGAAAAGGATGAGCAAATTAAAGGTTTGACCGAAAGACTCCAACAAATGACAAATAAACTTTATGAATCGAAAAACGCTTACGTTACTTTAAAACAAGATTTCAATAAAGCTCAAAAGGTATTTGAAGTAGAATATTGAATTATAAAAATTATCTTACTTTGCATTATTGTTAAGCATATTTTTTAAAAATATTTATAAAAATTAATACAATAGCATTGTTATAAATAATTTTTTATCCGTAATGTCCGTAATACACGATCTCGCGTGATGAGCGATATATTTATTAAATGTTTCAAAGTATTTTCACGTTTACAAGATAAAAATATTAGTGTATAACACACATGAATAGAAAATGAGAATTGTAATGCTTGGATGAAAAACACAATTTTTTAACAGTTACGCGCACAAATGTTTTATCGTTTAACAATGTTTTATCGTTACCTTAAACAATAAATTTTTTATGTGCATAATTTTTGTAAATTAATTGAACTAGCATAGATCAAATGTGAAACATTATTATCAATGCCATTATATATATATATATATATATATATATATATATATATTGGTGAGGTAGGTATTTAAGGAATTAAAATTTCATCTTTTATTTTGAACATTTGATAAATAATTTATTCGTTAATTTTGAAGTGAAAACTTTTAATATCTTTTAAAGGACTGAGAAGACTATTGAAAATATAAATTTTAACTATTAAATAATAAATTATAAGTTGTTATGCAGCGAAGTCGGGGAAAACGTATCTGTAACGACATTGTCAAGTCAATACGGAGGATGGCGTGGCAGAGCCGAACAAATTCATCAATTGCAGCAGAAAATTTCTGAATTACAATTGAAAATTTCAAGTTCCGATGCATCGAGACGAAAATCTTTAGGTTCTTATAATTGTAAAGTTATACGCAGGAAATACAATAGTTTTAAATAAAAATCGCAAACTTTCTAAATTCTTTGTGTGCGCTTATTGCATAAGAAGTTCACTCTTTCGAATGAATAATTTACTCCAAGTCGTAGCAGTAGTAGCTAATGCTATGATTCTTGCGAACTAGTTAAAGCGACGGGTACTTTCTTTCCAAAATCGATATAAAAAAAAAAAAAAAAAAAAAAAAAAACAAACAAACAAACAAACAAACAAAAAAATGTAAATATAATATAATGTATTTATTAAAAAATTATTCCACATAGAGGGCAGAAGTTCGTCGAGTATTCGAAACACTGACAGAGACAGAAAACAACAAATTGAAAATTTATCAAAAGAATTGAAAGACGCGGAAAGTACATTGGAGAGCACGAAAAAGAAATTCGAGGCCGCTAAAGCTAGAATAGCCGTTTTAGAAAATGATTTTAATATGTCGAAAAAAACCATAGCACTTTTGAATGAAAAAACAACTCACGATAATCAGTTGATTAAAGCCTTACACGTATGTTTTAGCTTTAGATAGAATTTTACCAAATTGCACGTAATGATTAAAAAAAAAAAAAAAAAAAAAATCAATCTCTTTAAGGATCAATTGAAAATAATTGAGAGAAAATTTGAAGATCGAGAGTTTGATATTAAAAAGCAGAATCAGAAACTGCAAAGAGAAATTGTCCTTTTGAAGAGCGAGTTAGAAGCTTCGCAAATTCATCTAAAAAATTTTAAACGCCAACTGGACGACAAAGAGAAGGAAATTGAAATCGTGAAGTTAGAATTCGTTCGCTCATATATTTCACATACTTGGCACTGCTTTATGTTCAACAACAATAATAATAATAATAACAATAATAACAATAATAATAATAATAATCCCCATAATGATTGTAAATTTATTTATTAAATCCAGAAAGGAATCGAATTTAGATCGAAAAGCCGTCGTCGAGTCTCAACAAACTAATGACTTGCGAGAAACGTCAATGCAGAGCCCGAGGAATTGCGCCAGAGATGCAAATGAATACATTGCTATTGGGATAGCCGCCGAAGCTGAAAGAGAGAGATTGTTAGAATTAGTGACGGTCCTGAATCGACGACTAGATAAAGAAAGAAATGACTTCGAACAATTATCTGTAGGTATTTAAGTTTTTAGAGAAAGCAAATTGTTCATTAGCATTTTTTAAAGAGAAACCTTTGTATCGTGTTGATAAAAGAAACATTTATGGTTCTTTATGGTCTGTGAGAACAACAAAATAAATACATAAGAATTGAGAGAAATATTAGAAGAATTGGTAGCTAAAAATGTAGGATAATAATAAATATCAATGAAAAGTTACAATTGATTGTTTTGTGATTATTATTATGTTTTATAATAAGATGATTATAAATTCAGTCAACAAGTTCCATCGTGCCTAGATGCTTTATTTATGTATTTATTTATTCTTTTTTTTTTCTTTTTTTTCTTTTTTTCCTATTACATTACTATGCATTTTTTCTTATTTAGAACATTTATCTTCTGTACTTATCAAGCTTCTCTACTTTTAATTTTTTAATTCGTATTCAATTTTATATAATTACGAATGGCCTTTTAATTAAAAATTCTTTACAGCCATAGGGTGTTTAGAAAATAAATATAACACTAAGAGCCAAGCTATTATTATTCGTTGGGCTTGTAATAAATAATGATTAGAATATTGATTATATCGAGCGTTAATATCTTATTTATTATTATTATAAATGGTGGGTAAATTTCAAATATTATTTAGTCAAATGGTATATTTTATAAATGGTCTATTAAATGCATCGAATACTCGTTTATTTCAACTTTATATACGCATTACTCACGTAAAGTTATAATCGACTAATTGAATAATTTTCAAACAAGTTCTCAACAAAAATTGCATTTACGGCATTATAAGAATGTCGATTAAATAACAAAAATAACAATTTTTTTTCTTCATAAGCGTTGGTAAAAGTATTTTAAATTATTTACAAAATGCAAAATTTTAGGCTTTGTATTATTTTCGATAATTTCTTTCTCCTTTGTTTTGTTTTGTTTGTTTGTTTTGTTTGTTTGTTTTGTTTTGTTTGTTTGTTTGTTTGTTTGTTTTTTTTTTTTTATTGTTTTTATAGGAATCTTTTAGGAAAGAACGAAATCGAGGTGTAAAGCTTGAAACGAAGCTACGAAAAATGGAATTGGAACGCGTTGTTCTCTCAAAAGTAAATACCGGGTCTTACCGATTGAAAGCTCCTAAGCTTAATGGCGTACCGAATAATATTTCCGACGATTCAGAAGAATTTCGATTAAAGTAAATGAATGGATAATGTACAATCTAGGGAATAACGTCTCTAATTTTCCATTCATTTTGTTTTCAGATTTGAATTACTTCAGGAAGAGTGTTTGACTTTAAAGACACGCTTAACAACAATTAAAAAAGACAAGTGTGCAGATCTGGTTATGTTTAAAAAAATGTTGGATCAGACAAGAAAAATATTTAAAGATGCACACAGGTAATGGATTGTATGTGGATAATACTCAACCTGCTATAACGAATGAATTTTTTTTTAAATTTCGATTTCTATTCGCAGTGGAAAATTACCTATGATTGAATATAATTCCAGTGCTACTTTTTAAATTATTTAGAATTTTAAAAGAGCAAAAAACAGCAAAAACATTATATAAAAATTGATGGGATGTTTTATTGGGCGAAGAAAGTCAAATGTTACGAATGTACGATGAAATCGTAACCGTACACCTAACCGAACAAATTGTAATGATTTAATTTATTAAACGATAAAACGATACCTTTATATTTTATTCTCTTGATTTAAAGTTCCATAAATTGCATGAGAATATATTCAAATTCTTTTACCAATATCGAATGCCGCTCTTTATGTCTTATGCTTGATAATACGTCTGTAAAGATAATTAAGTAAATTTTTATTATAAATTAGTATTTATTGTAAGAAGTTATTGCGAATGCATCATGATTCATGATCGTTATTTTCGTTGCTTAATTAAACTTAATGACTCTCTGTTAGTAGAAATATTTGCTAACAAATGTGAAAGATAATTTACCATTGCTATTATTTTTTATGTATAATTTTTCCACGTTCTGTCGTACTTTTCATCAGCAATTAATCATTATTAACACATTTTAAATATATAAAATAGTTTATCACTAGTTATCGGATAAATATAAATTTTTATGCATAAAAATTGTCAATTATATTTTTCATTTAGTGTTGCTTCGAGTTTTTAATAAACATATGTTTATTTCTATTTGTTTTGAATATCTGATTGTTAAAGTGTATATATTGTAATTTTGGTAATCTATCGATCGTTACATTCGAGGATGCAATGTGATATAAAATCCGAATAATTTACACGTTAAAAAGAAAGCGAAAATTAAATAAAATTCTATTTTACTTATATTTCATAACAAATACACTTTATTGCTTTCTTCGTTTTCTTTTTCGTTTTCCTCCCTTGTACAAAAGCTTTGATATAAACAAATTTTTTATAAAATTATATATAAAAAAAATTTTTTTTTTTTTAACTGATAAATATGACATTATTGGTAATAGAAATTCTCAAGATAATTATAGAAAGAAAATAGTACCTCATAATAATCTTATTTATAATCAGTGATTTATTAATTACAAAATATAGTTAACATTAGTAATAATTATATATAAAGGTGATATTTCATATATATATATATATATATATATATATATATGTAATTAAAACAATTAATAATAGAAAAATGATAGGCTATGAATAGGCACAAATATAAGATAATACAGTTAAAATGCTCCGGTTCTTACCACACAGCAAATAAATTAACGGCGAATAGTATAATGCTACGTCATAAAGGCACTAATACCGCTTGGCCTCGCATATAAACCCCCTCATCTACGTATACAAAGAAGAAAAAACTCTATTATGTAATTAAATGTGCCACCGATAAGATGCAGCGCGCTTCTATATTTTTCTCGCTTCATTCTTTCTCTTTTAATTCTGTACCTCGTTTACGGAGCTAATTTGACTTTATATGACTTAGCCGATGTTTGTTCTAGCTTGGCGTTTTGCGTTCGAGTACGAATATCTTCTCTGTCTATTCATTTTATTTCGGGCTAATTCCATTTTCATAAAAAGCCGTAAATTCATCGCACAATCGAGTTTTATGGAATATCACTTAATATAATTGTTAAATAGATGGATACGTTATAGCCGTCTGTTATATTATTACAATTAAGAATAATATTTTTGGACGTACGTATGCGTTTGGATGCATGGAATTTGGATTTTCATAGCATAATTGGAAGAATATAAAATTAAATAAAAATCTTTAAAACATTTTCTTTTATGATGTGGGTATTATTATATATATATATATATATATATATATATATATATATATGAACACGTGCGTATATGTACGTATGATTGCGCTTATAGCTACGTGTGTGAGCATGCGTGTATTCGATGTCAAATACTATAGGAATTAATGCGAAAATTTTAGTCAAATAATTTATGAGCAAACGTTTTTTTTTTGCATTTAATTCGTTACATTTAGAATAATAGTTTATAAGCGATTCAGAATATCTAAATAATTGTTAGAAATTTCTAATTAAAAAAAGAGCTTGGAAATAATCCTTATTTACTAATAATGATTTTCATATAACAATTAAATAGGTTCGATTCAATAACATTTTTTTTCTATCGACACTATTAAAAAGGTATGGAACTCGATAAACTTATTATTTGTCGTGGATGTCATTATTTACTACATTTGTTACGATAAAAAAAAAAAAAAAAAAAAAAAAAAAAAAAAAAACAAAACTTCGCCTTAATAAGAATATATCATTTACATACAAATAATTCTTGTTTTTATCGCATAGGATTGTTTCGATAAACTTAGTTAAACATTCGATAAATGAGGAAATGAGCATTTTTCTTAAAAGTTTCATTAAACGAGTAACTAGAACTTTGGCTCTTGAACGTCTCAAGATTGTTCAGCAAAGTGTATGACAGCGAAAACATTGAAAATCATTTGCATACATTATTTATCACAGTTTTTTCTTTTTTTTCCCCCTTAATTTATTTATTTAAGAAACTCTCGATTATTTTAATTTGCAATTTATTTATTTATTTTGTTTCATTTTTCTTTTAACATTACATCTTGAACTCTTTAACAGACTTTTACTTAATTTTATAAATGCTATAATTTTACTATGTTTTTCTATAAATGATAAGGCACGCATTACTGTAATACTTGTTTTTCATGAAAGCAATAGACAAGCCGTTGAATACTTCCTTCGTATCGCACATTGAATAAAATCTAAAATTAATGATTTCCAAATAAAACTATCCAAAAAAAAAAAAAAAAAAAAAGAAAAAAAATTTACAATAGAAATAATCACAAGAGAATAAATATGCTATGGAGTAGGCAGTTGGAAGGAACTATAACAACATATGGATACGTAATATATCGAGCCGCCGTAGAGAATAAAAGAGCGAGTCGCGAAAGACGATTCCAACGGGCAGCAACGAGATTAAAAGTCAAAGAACTTTGTTCTACAGAGCAGCAGCGCGTCCGCCATGTCCTGCGAGATATTTCTTATTTGCTCGATAACCAGGCCACTGCCGTTGCCGCTTTGCTCCCATCGCTGTCGCCACTCAGTGTACCTACACCTCGTGCAGGTAGCATCAGAATGATAAAAATGACGCATAAAGCGATTGCGTTTTATTCTTCGGGGGCTTCGGTTGCGGATTAATCGAGATCACGGTCGAACGGAAGTCATTGCTACGCTACTCCTTCGTCCGCAACCATTCGTCCGTGCTTTATGTGCACGGAAAATTATTCTTAACTCTTGGGCCATTCTCGATTAACATTTTCCCGCTTAGTGGATGTTGGAGTTACGTTTTCATCTGGCGAGCCGATGTAAGGGGAACGTTATTGAACTTGAATTTTAATCGGTTATATCGTGCAAGTTTGTACGATGAATCGACTAATCACGATCGAGTAGTATAATTTATTCGTAAATTCATGTAGCCTGGCCAACTATTTACAAAGCTAAGATTGCAACGATAGATAAATAAAATAGGCAATACGTCTTGAAATAAATATCCCATTGAATGTATGTGCTTTTAATTTACAATTTGTTCGATTAAGCAATTCTCTTTTATAACATTATCACATTCGAATTATTGAGTCTTCTGTTAGTTTAATTACTATAAAAGAGCATTCGCGGAACATATCTGGATAGAAGGAACAATTTAATTGAAAACGTATTTCTACTATATTTTGTCACTTAGTCACATGTCCTTTATTCTTAGCTATTGTGCCTATAGTAAACCATACAATTAGCATTACAATGAAATACCGTAGAATAGATAAATTGATGCAGGTTGTCATACTAGAGAGTCTAAGAATTACTCGACCTTACTTCTCATCCTCCTATAGCGGAGAAAGACAAATGGACGAGGAAGAGGGGAAACGAAAGAAATTCGATAGAGAAGCTTTCCTTTTCTCCTACGCTCTCTAATAATCGTTTATTTAGGCTCGTTTAATTTATAAATGACAAGATGAATATCTATTTTTTTCTTCTTTTCTTTCTTTTTTTCGTTTTTTTTCCCGTTTTTTTTTTCGTTTTTTTTTTTTCACGTTGACGCTTTATTGAAACGGAAGATTTATCGTCCTAAGGACAAGCGCATTAAAATTTTCGCTTTATATTTACAAAGTACAATCGTTCGTAGTGGATATAAGTAACGCGCATTCGTTTACCTGAAACTTTTCATTTCCAAGTCGTAAGCGGCATTTTTTGCCTTAAAAACCAATAAAATATCCAAACGTTGAACATAATCGAAATCGCGCAAGTAAAAATTGTAGCATATATGTTTAAACAATGAAACGAGACTTCCACATTCCACTTATGTGCGAAAATTATGTATTTCTCAATTGCCAATATTTACTGGATTAACTTCCGATTATACGACTTTTATTCGATGTTGGTACAAATGCTATACCCTGGCCTTCAGAAATTTCAATGTTCATGTAAAATGCCATCAAATAATGAATTAAGATTACATAATACGACACACGAAATACTAATTTAACATAACAGGCCATTGTCTAATTCGGCTTGTTTTTAATTTCTTAGGAATTTTTTAGCTTTAGCTTCGCATGTTTTGACAATCCTTATGAAGTTATAAGAAATTCCAAGGAATCTTATCACAAATGTAGATGAATATTATTGTGAGCTATTTTAATTTGAAACGGAAATAACAACAATGTACGACTAATCTACCGTCATGCACAGAACTTTGAAAATGATCGTAATTATTCACCGATAAAACGTATAAAAATTCACAATATGGTCATAAAAATTTGCCTTCGACGGGCACAATGATATGAGATATGAAAACATAATAATTATCGATCAGTCAGCCGTATCGGAGGAAAAAATTTAAAAAACGAGGATATATGCATAAACTTACAGTACAATCGCTTTAGAGGTCTCTCGTATCTTAAAATTCTGCAGGTCCGATAGATTCCAATAGCATCAAGACTGACGTGTCCACATCTGCATAAACTGAAAATGTCATTTATATTGGCTGCTCGTGCATTATCGTCACAGACAATTAATCGGACGCTCATCGAGTCCAAGATGGAGTCCGACAAATAAAAATTCGCCGTTCCGAATCGACGATCGCCTCGATCAGCTCTATCGACCATTATTAGTCCATTAGGCACGCTGAAGCCGAGGGTATCGATGCCATAGGCGAGATTAAAGGTCGTTTGCTGGTCGCACGAAAGGTCGGCCTTTCGAAGGTGGTGGTTAGGAGATTGGAGGGGAGGGGAGGGGAGGGGAGGGGAGGGGGGGCGCCAAAATTCTCAAGCATTTTTCACGATTGACACGGTGGCGGTGGCGGTGACATCGGCGGCTCCGGTCGCGGTAGTAGGAGGAGTCGCGTCAGGGAAAAACCGCGAGCGATAGCCGCGGACCCAACAGAAAACTCCGGCCACGGCCGCTGGGACCAAGAGGAGCCGCGGTCCTCGCAGGTGTTGGTGCGCGCGATCGCTGATAAGGAACGCGCGCCCGGGCACCCGCGTGACGTCACGGCCGGCACAGGTATATGAGCCGACGCTACGGCCCCGACCACGTTACTCGTTGCCCCGTCGTCTTCCTGTCCGTGCTCGGCCCGCCTCGCGCGCACCCACGCGTGCACCCACCAGTCTCAGTCTCGCTCCTTTTGCTCTTTCAGCAACCTGCCCCCCCTCCCGGCGCTGCCGATCTTTCAATTTTTGTTTCCGCTCCCGACCGCTGCCCTCTGCTTCACCCGTCGGGCCTCGCACTCGCTCGAGGCACCTGCTGGAGAACGGGCCCGGGACCGAAAGCTGGGAGGCTTCCGCTGGAGCTCCGCATTCGTCGCGCGTTACACACACACTCACATACGCGCGAGGGGACTGGCACTTGTGAGCTGACGCACGTTCTTAGCATGGGGTGAGTGAATAACCGGGGAACTCTGGCTGCTTCGTCCTTTTTTCTCGACCTCTACCTCCTCGGCATTTCTTCTTTCTCTCTCCTCTACATCTTTGCCTTCGTCTTTACCTTCGCCCTTTGCCATCCTCATCACATTCATCTTCATTTTGTTCTTCCTTCTCTTTCATCGCCGTTTTCGTCGCCGCTGCCGCTGCCGCTGCGGCCGCCGGTACAAGTCCTGCCGGCATCGCCACCGCCACCGCCACCGCCACCGCCATCGCCACCGCCACCGCCACCTCCACCGCCACCTCCACCGCTACCGTTACCTCCTCCTTCTCCTCTTACACCTCCTCCTACACCTCCTCCTACACCTCCTCCTACACCTCCTCCTACATCTCCTCCTTTCCCCTCGCCCTCCTCATACTCCTCTTCCTCGTCGTCCTCGTCCTCCTCCTTCTCCTCCTCCTCCTCCTCCTCCTCCTCCTCCTCCTCCTCCTCCTCCTCCTTATCCTCCATTACCTCCTCCTCCTTATCCTCCTTTTCCTCCTCCTCCTTCTCCTTCTCGTCCTCCTTCTTCTCGTCCACCACGTCCTCCTCCTTCACCTCATCTTTCAACTCATCTTAAATACAATTACTGCCGCTTTGCACGACGAACCATAAATATTCTTGCATTTTAACGAACTTTCATTTCGTTATTCATCTCCTCTTATTCTAATTCTTCAAATACACGAGTGCTTGAGCGATCTCATTGCAGCGGCAAGCTGCTCTTAACGCAATTTTTCAGATTATCATACACACGCAATAATCATAAATTTTACCTTTACTTTCAAAATTGTCGCTTTAATTTTTGATTTCGATAATGCTCATTCATTTCATCGGAATCTCAAATTTCAACAAATTGATCGCTTCAATACTCTAATAATTATGATAGAAGGCCAAGAAATAATCCAAATGTTTGCTAATATCAACCCCATCCCTCGCTTTTCGTAACAATTTATGAATTCGTGTATAGAACGACGTATAAAACCACTTATCTTTAATCACATATTTAATGATACGAAAAACAAGAATTTCAGTACAATTTTAATTAATCAGTAATCGACAAAAAGCAACGAGACAAATGCGCTTTTTTAACTCATTTTTACGGCAAAACTTTAAATTACATTTTTTCTTTCGCGTTTCATAATGAAGCGTGCGATGCGTAAAATGTGTTAGGCGTGCTTTTTTATTAACTATTTGTAAAATTCCATTACTGCTAGCTGCTGGAAAAATAAAAATATTACTCAACCTTGACCGAAGCTTAAACGGCATTAAAGATTTGTAGTTAAAAAATAGTTTAACGTTTATTAAGCGCAAGAATATATTTGAAAATGTCTTAAAAATCTGCGCGTTATTTCTCATAAAAATTAACGATTTAAAAACACCTCAATTTTCATAAATAGGAAAATCGTAATATTGCTTCATTGTCACTTTTATAGCTGCAAAAATACGAGTGGTAAATTATCGAAACGGAACGCATAATTTCACGTGATGTTGACAAAAAGAATGAACGGCCATCGTAAGTGCTTACAATACATAGATACGAGAAATTCATTGCCCATCTTTTCATGTGTAAATAGCCGAGGAGATGCCAGTCTCATTGCGACTCTTTCTCGCACTCCTCATTACGTAACTCGCACGAGTTTAAACGAAGAGGTGCTTCCTCTTCTCTCTCTCTCTCTCTCTCTCTCTCTCTCTCTCTCTCCGTCTCTCTCCGTCTCTCTCCTTTTTTCCTTTTAGAACGAGGAGCACTTTATGCTTTATCTATGAAAACAGCGATTTATTTGTATGGGCGTGGAAATTTTGGCTAATTTTCATTTGCATTTAAATACATAATCTATATACACCGCTCGATATTGTTTGTTTTTGTCGTTATTTATATATTATAAAGCGATATCACGGCGCTATAAATGTCGCTTAACAATCCATAAGACGTTTGCCTTAAATACATTTCTCCACTCATTACTCGGTTATTTTTATAACTTTTTAGAAATAGGATCATGTTTTTTGTTACACGTGGAATTCTCCATTAGCGACCGAGAAAATTATTGAATTCTAGTCGGTGTGTGCTCGCAGATTTTGTCAGGCCTTATCACGCAATTGATTTTGAAATTTTTTCTACGCTTGCTTATTAATAAAATCATGTGATTCTTAATAACGTTATCGAGCTTTATTACAATTCACGCGCCATTATTTTTGCAATAGTTTCCAACTGCATAGGATTTTGATAAATCTATCGACAATCTTAAATACACAAATATTGTACATATTCGTTTGTTTCTTTTCTTTCCTTTCCATTTCTTTTCATTTTTTTTTTTTTTTTTTATAGATAATTTCAATAGCTAGATCACATAATATTCGTATTTCCCTTGCCACGTCTGAGTCACAAGAGCGCAAATAGCCAATTGTAATAAATGTTCGTTGAAAAATTCTTCCTATAACGTTTCATAACTTATTGCTGCCGCGATTAATTTCACATGTACAGTGCTTACATTCCCTCTTCATTTTTCCTTTATTTAATGGACTTATCTTCTGTGAAAACAAGCGGAGGAGACCGCACCGGTGGTTACACGTAGCTTTCGGTCGTACCTGCCGAACGAGCGTCGCGCACACAGTGCTAAGGCACGCGCGCGCACGCACACGCTCGCTCTTACACCAGTAACGTATATATAGATACAAAAATGTATGCGTATAGCGGTTCGGCCTTATCATATCACCGCAAGCGAGCGAACGCGATAACGATTTATCATTATGCTGTCCCTTCCGAAAAGCAATATTCTACGTAATGTGTCAAGTAAAGTGCATAATTTTTAATTAAAAAAAGAAATTTTTTTTCTACAAAAGAAAACTATACAATTAGACGAAATGGCGGTATACGTGAAACTCCATTAGATAACAATTTAAAACAATACGTTATTGTAGAGTCTCTTAATTCATTATGAAGCGAGTTTGAAATTCCATCGAGTTTATTTATATTTATCAACATCTTGTCTCGTAATTTGAAACAAAATCACATTAGTGTTACTAACTAGCCAATAATTATAATGAATTAAAGGCACCTGTTGTTATTGAATTAATACGTTCGTGAATTTTAAGCAATTGACTTTTGTAAAATCCTATATAGATCAATTACGTTACGATATGTCAGTTACAATCGTTAGAAAAAGTTATTTTATTAAAAGCGCTTTCTATTGATGGATGAAAAATTATTACGTAATTATGAATGGGAAATCTGCTCTTTAGGTTAATATTGACGACGATTGTACGAAATACATACGAATTCATTACTCACTTTGCAAAACTGTATAATAAATTCTATTAGCTGTATTCAAAATTACAATCTGATACTATTAATTATCAAACAAAATGTATGAAAAATTATTAACATTCAATCGTCTATTATTATCGATATAAATAATTGAAATTTTATATATATGTTTAAGATTCTTTAGTACTGTCTATTAAATAATAATAATAATAATAATAATAATAATAATAATAATAATAATAATAATAATATATTACATAAAAGTTTCTTTAACGAAATCGTTTCAAACATTTAAAACAGACCATCTATAAAAGACTTTAAATGTATATTAATAACGAATTCGTGAACATTAATCCAACTAATAAAGTACAAAGTTACTTCAATTCAATTCACAATCTAATTGTCAGCTAATATGGAGCTGTTATAACGAATTTTCAATAGTATATTAAATACATATTGAACATATTTAACGATTCTCTATTATCTTAATATTAATAATAATTATTATTATAAGCAAGTGGCGTAACGATCGTGTATTGATTAAAATTTTAATAACATTGACTGAAATATGCTCGTCTTAAAAATTACCAAAATTTAAAAAACTACATTAAAAACTGTAGTTTGAATAGAAAAAAAAAAAAAAAAAAAAAAAAATTACACATTCTAACATCTAAAAACTAACTAGTAAACATTGTAATATTATCGAATTTATGGCTTAAATTTTACGTTTAATATTTCATTCGAACGAACATAATGAGAATTTTAACGAAAAATTATATTTCTAGCATAATCCAATTTGTCTATACACAAACATCTTACTAATATAATATATAAATAATAGAAGAATAATGTAAAAATATAGAAGCAGAATATTACACAAAGTGAGGCAAAAGAGTTTTTTTTTTTTCAAAATCTGCACGATCTTGATAATAGTATCTATATAGTAGAAGCAATTTTAAGAGTGTAGATATAATAATTTTGAGATATGTAACGTTTATCGCTTATTAAAATTAGAACTTTGCCATATAAATAAATGCCAAGTCGAGTAAAAAATAAGTTAACTTACTATTGTGTATCTAAATTAAATTTGCACAGTCCTATCATAGCTGTAAAAACGTCATTGCCATACATTTATAAACATATTAAGGAAATATATTTGAGGATTAAATCGTTGTTGAAAGGCAAGAAGGGATTATTAGAATTCAGATAAACTATACATTTTTATTTCAAGATGATAAACAGAAAGAAAGCCAGAAAAACTAGAAAGAATTACGATGTAAAGGAGATTTTTCGAATACAACACACATGAAATTCTTATTTGACAAATTTGTTTTCATGACACATTGCCTATTTTTGCTAATCGTAAACACAGAGTATTTATCATGTCACATGTCAAAAAAAAAATCGACAGTTAAATTTATTTATTTATTTATAAGAATATCCATATCCATCCAAGCCATGTTAACGCATCTTTAATTCTAAACTCGCTAACGGAAAAATTAAAAGAAAGAAAAAAAAAACAACAAAAAAACGAAAATTGTTATCATCGCTTCATGAAGTGGGCACTTGCCTTGTATGAGCTTTTATTTTCTCCTCGCACACATCGACTCGCTGATATTTAAGCAGTTGTTCGTTATAGAGTTGAAAAAAAATCAATTTGACAAATACGCACGGGAGGGAATACTCGCGATCGCAATACTCATTCGGTATGTTT